ATAAAGAGAATGTCTTTTGCTTTTGAAGATTATTAACATACAGCACTAGAGCAATGGGAAAACAGAAATAGAAATGAGATATTTTAGGGCAAACTTTGAAGGTAATGCTACAACTATAATCCATGGGCTAACTTATAGTAAACACCATAGCCACAAGCACTATTAGAGAATATTCTTAGGGTGAATGGAAAATAAATTCAATCAATAAAAACTGGACTGAGAAAAGCAAATTTACTTCTCCTTTTTAACTGAAAATGCAAAGATACCGCCAAAGAGAAATAGCTTTCAAACTGCCTATCACTGAATCAATCTGTTAACAGTATTAAAGATAAATTAAGGCCGGAAAAGATTACAAAATGATGAGCATGGTTTATAGCACAGTAGCAGACTTCTTCAGGACACTGGGTGTCTGTCGCCTGGAGTATGCACTGCACATCCGCATATGGACCACAGCATTAAGGGCAGTAAGCCACTGTGAACACAGCATCATCTGTTATTATGAACACACCAGCCAACAAAGTGGCAGAAACTGCCAGCTACAACTAAGCACTAAACACTGAATGCATGGGACAGAAAATAATTTATCAGAGACAAAGAGGAAGAAACAAACTATCTAGAAGCTATGCACTCAGCTATGATCACAGCACATGCTAAGGTCGGGTGTTCTTTATGGTCCTGATTCACATATAGAACCGCATTTTATGACCTTTCAAAACATCTAAGCAACCACGTCAGGCTCTGCAGTCCAAAACTGGTGCTCATGGTGGCACATGCCTGCAACCCCAGCACTCAGGAGTCTGACAGGATTGCTGCAAATTCAAGGACAATCTGGGCTACACAGTGTCTTCAAGGGCAGCCCGTAATATACAGCAAAACCCTATCACAAACAAAGTGCTCACAAGTATATTTTGTAACTCCAAAAGTAAAAATCTTTCAAATTATATCACAGTATGATAGACAAGACAGAACCTATAGCAACAATGAAATGGTAGCAAAACAGCTTTTGCTACCCTAGAAAATTATAGGATCATGGTTTTCAGAAAAAACAAGATGACTAGGCATTTGCCCCAAATGCTAACAAAGACCTGACTAATCCTCCTGAATCCAATATAGTCCTCACTAATTATAAATTCATCATTAAAATCTGCTTTTAAAATTCAAGCTTTATTCTCAAAGTTGAGACATAAATCAACTAAAAATGTTCTGCCCAATGAAGGAACAAGGGAACAGAAAGGGGAAAAGGAAAAAAAAATGAGAAAGGATGGAAAAAAGAGAAAACAAAGCTTTTGTAAATAACAGGGCTTAAAGGGAGGGTAGGGGAATGGAAAAAAAAGAATCAAATTATATCATACATACGTACAAATCCCTATGATAAATGTGACCATTATATGTACTTACAATGTGCCCAAAAAGTTAATTTAAAAAAAAAAAAAAAAAAGCAAAAACCTACATTCAGTGCATCAATCTGGCCCATCCTTACAAGCAGCCAGAAGAAAGTAGAAGAGGTCATCACTCACAGGCAGAGACTGTCAATGTCCTGCCCAGAAGGAATCCACAAATGTCCCAGGTGAAAACTTGAGTGACCCCATCCCAGCCTAACAGACATATACCTACCACAGTCATCAGCAGTTTGTCGAACCACTGCAGCTTGAGCTCTGACTTGGACCACATATCTGGTCTTAATGCAGTCTTCAGGAGATTGACACAGCGGCGAGACAGCATGTCCCCAGGGGACCCCGCAGTGTTGGTGTTGTCATTAACCTACAAATGCATTCAAATTACAGTCGACACCCGTATCTACAGTCTTTCCAGGGATACTAGTGACATTTTGCTGACCATGCTTGTGCCCTCCATGCAGTGTCTTCACGGCCACCTTCTCTAGCCTGACCTCCTCCTACTGGCTCACATACCACCAAGGCTCCTGGGCAGCTCACACAATAGACTGATCTGCAGCCAGCTGTGTGCTCCTCCCAGCACAAAGCACCACACATGTGGGAACATAACAAGGAGCTATTTATTTCTCTCCATACTTAGAAATTTTCAGTTCTTAGAAATTCTCAACAGTACTGCAAGATACACTATTTTATTTAATAGTTACAAGAACATGAGAGTCCCTCCAAAAGAAAATTATAAAAATTTCATATGAACAATTTCAGAAATGGATTTCCACCATGAACAGTAAGTCCACTAAAGTTTATCAAACTGGGGTTTAATAGCACTTAAATTGCTACCTTTTTATAAATTTTGTGTAGGTTAGACCATCTACCTCATCATCATTATGACCTATATGTACTGTTCCCCATTTAATAAGACAAAATTTTGGGGGAGTGAGGAAGAGAATAAAGAGAGAAAAAAGTAGTGAAAATGATCAAGTGCTTGCCTCAGCAACACATACACTAAAATTGGAAAAATGATCAAAATACAATTCAAATATGCCATTTTCACAAAACAAACCATTACTACATAGCACAAACATATACCAAATAAACAAATAAATAGAAACTGGGAAGTTAAATACTTGCCCAAGCTAACTGAAACTACCATACACACAAAATTTTACCGACACTAAGATGTTGTTAATTAAAAGACATTAGCAATGAAACAAAATGTATTTTATTTTTTTGAGATAGCACTTCATTATATAGCCCAGGCTGACCTCAACCCCACAGCAATCCTCCTGCCTCAGTCCCCCAACATACTGGACTTACAGGCATGTGATACCATGCCCACCTTTGCTTTGATTTCTAAACCATACCAATTTTAAGACACACACAAATTTCAGAAATATTAACCTGCCGTAAAATCACTGGAACCCGGCAGGAAAGTGACAGAACTGCCTTCAGGTTTGTTTCTTTTTGACTCTTCTGTCAGAGACAACACTCTGCAGTGTCACTAAGTAATCACTGTTCTAGAGTCCAGTACCTGACAAGCCACTCGGATGAGAAAGTTCACCACAGTGTCTGTATGCTGCTTGTCAATGGGCTTGGCGAGAAGAGAGTCAGCTCCAGGCAGCGATTGGCTCCTCCCGAACACCTAAAAAGGCCATCCTTTTAAAGCAGGAAGAGCTTTCTCACTAAGAACTGCCAACCCAAGCTGCTGACAAGTTCAGCCAGCTGAAAGATGTGTGAAACCTCCCCAGGGGAAACTCCCCAGTTCTATGGTCATGGGGGACAGGGACAAATGTGGCCTCCACCTTTGCAGGTGAGTGGACAACATACAAAATAGCAACAAGAAAGTAATGACTCCTGTGACAGAATAAAAGACAAGAGTACTAGGAAATGAAAGGTAGGATGACTCAGAAAAAGCCAGCCAGGTAGGAGGGGAAAGGCTAGTGGACAAATCTGAAGAAAACAGAATAGGGAACTTGTACAGAGTGGAAGCAGGGCCTGGGGGCCTTGGTTGCAGGCAACGAATCTGTTAAAAATTTAGTTCTCAAAGATTCCCAAGAAATTCTACAGACCCTCTACCCAGTTTCCCCTGGCTGTAGTTTGAAAAGAAAGCTTTTGGTCTTGACTGCTTTGTAAAAATGATACTGAAATGAGATGAAAACTGAATGGCTCAAGAACTGGCAGTAAGCTTTAGGACTCTCCTTTTCAGGACAGGTAACAGAGGCTTAGGCAATGGCGGAGTGGGGAAAAGGCGGAAGGCTTTAAGTATGGGGAGAAGGCAGTAAATAGTACAGATGTGTCTAGGTTCCCACCCAGAACCTGGGCAGAACACAGCCACTTCAGATGGAAGGACAGTGAGTGCAGAAATGCAAAGCTTAAAGTGGGTGGCCAACCCAATCCAAGAGTAGAGCTGGCAGCCCTCAGGGCTTCTACCTGAAAAAGGGGTGAAGATCAACATGTCTAGGACCTCCTTCATGGCTGCGTTCCAACCAAAAACATTGCCTCTTTAAAAGAAATAAAACTGATACTACAGAAGCATATTCTTACAGGGGAGAGTTCCCACACTTTGCTTACTGGGAATGGAATACAGGGCTGTGTGTACAGTAGGTGAGTATTCTACCACTGAGCTACACTGCCAGTTCTCAGTTTCTCTTGGTACCTTTTCCTGATTAACCAGTTCAAAAAAACTTATTAAAAAAAATGTGTTTGACAATGCGGGAAATGCTTTGTGTAAGTAAATTCCCTGGGGCGAGAGTGCAGCATAGTACATGTCAAAATTCCATGACACATGGTGCTGTAGGGAAAGCATGTGCTCTTACTGCACTGATGGCTCCGGTGGCTGTCCTGAAGCGCTTCACCTCCTGGGCAGAATCCACAGACAGGCCTCGCTTGATAGAGGATGAGACAGAAGTGATTCCTTCTCCACTGGAATTTGGATCCATATCGGAATCCGGCTTAAACACACACACACACACACCTCAACTTATTGACTGATCTCCAAGTAGTAGTACTGGGAACACAAGCAGACCTGACACTGAGGGGTGATATGCCTACCTGCTGGTCCTTGATCCTCTGTAATTCCCACTTGATGACGACTTCAGACAGATCTACAGCCAACCGCCTCTGCTCGATGGTGACACTAGGTGTGAAGCCCAGCCTCTGCATGGCACTGACCATATGCTGAACCAGGTGGTGCCGCACGGGATAATACACCTGTGAGCACAGTGCCAGTGTCATCCTGGAAAAATATACATCTGTGCGCATGCTCATTGGACCCAACCTGTTCCTTAAGGATTCAGAGTTAAAACTCTGACAAGGAAAATTCCATTATGTGTGTGCTTATTACAACTCTACTGGCCCTTGCTCAGTATCAAAATGAGTCTATTTCAACATATTAGTACCATCTTTATTTATTTTTAATCTTGTATTTATTTGGTACAGGGTCTCTCTACAAGGCTTGGACTCATAGTGGTCCTCCTGTCTCAAGTCTCCTGAGTGCTGGGATTATAGGCACAGGTATGTATCACCATGCCTGGTTTTGGTGGTCAGCATGGTGCAACTGGGGTTCAAGGATGGGCACTGCATATGGTACTGGAGACTGAACCCGGGTCCTTGTGCTTGCCAGGCAGGCACTTAAAGACTGCTGAGCTATCTCCCAGCCCAGTAACATCTTTATATACAGTGTGCTGAAAATCTGATTTCCTGTAGGTAGATAAGTCTAGTCATACATCTAACTTCAGGCTTGACAACAAAAAAATTTAAAACATAAGATGCAAATTTGAGAAGGGGTATTAAAAACAAAAACATTAAAAAACCAAAAACCGGGCTGATGAGATAGCTCAGTGGCCTAAAGTACCTGCACAGGCAGGTACTGCACAGTGCCACACCCTGCTGACCCCGGTCCCACGCCCGGGACGGGCTGAAACAACTGATTGGGCGTCGTGGTGCTCCCCTATAATCCCAGCACTTGGACAGCTAAAAACAAGAGAATCACTATGAGTCTAATGTGTGCAGTGAGACCCTATAGATCTTGTACTAAAATACATTAAAAAACACACAAAACCACTTTCAATGAATCCTTGTGATTCATTGAAAAAAAACCCAGAGAAATAAAACCCAGTATAGGGGATTTAGCTAAAAGGAAGGAAGTACCTATGACACAGGAACTCTTCAAGCCAAGTGACCAAACTCTATAGTCACTGATGACCTCCTACCTTAAATGAACATCTTATCTTGAACATCTTACCTATATTCAGGATTAACTACTTCAATAAAACTTACTGTCTAAAAAAGGAACCAAGCAGAAAGAAGTATCCACCAATAATAGAAGTATCTACTATTCCTACAGTAGAGCAATTTCTATGTTCAGGAAGTTAAGATATTTATACATGCATTAATCAACGAGCTGATAGCAGCTTTCCTAAGAGACAAAAAATCCACTTTATTACCGTAGGAAAGGGCAGCAGTTCAAAGTGGAGTCCTGAAAACACACTAAGTAGCAATTTAGTATACTTTCTACACACCTTAAAATGCTGCACAATCAAATGCAAAATATGCACCAATTGCGGGACAGTGTGCCCTTCTTCCACGATGATCTTTCTGGTCCAATGCGTGAGCATCTGGTGGCCATCCTCCATGCGGGCGGGCACTGCTGGAGTCAAGATGGCCATTGCTTGCCTGACAATTGCTCGGGCTTCCATTGCATGAGCCTTGAGAAGACTGTGGAAAACCTAAACAGGAAAGAAATCCATGTGCATTGTGATTGTGAAGGCTTTAAAGAACAACAGGATACAAATAGTGAATTACAACTAAGGCATGATGGTTCTGTACAGTAGTTTTTAAAAATTTCCTTAGAGCTAAGTTTTTTTAAAAATTTTATTTATTTATTTATGGGGGGCAGCTCAGCCCACCAGGGGGCGGGGCTGGCTGGCATGTGGTGCTGGGGGATTGAACCGTGGTCCCTGTGCTTTTCTAAGCTTGTTCTAAGTAGGTGCTTTAGACCACTGAGCCATCTCACCAGCCCTCTCTAAGTTTTAATATTTCATGTGAGAGGTGAAAATATGATTTAAGGCCACAGGAACACAAGGAAGAGCTTAACACTGAGGATGGGAGGAAAGGAAGGATTTTGGAGCCAGTAGGACTTCCAATGCCTGGGCATGAGGGAGGAACGGAGAGTATCAGAGATGGCCCTCAGGTTTCTTGCTAAGATAACTGGGGGAAAGCAGTACCTGTCATACAGCATGGAGTCACAACCCAAGTGCCTGTGGGAGGGGATTCCTGGGTGTTGGTTTTGGCCTCATAAAAGTTCACGAGAAAGTAGTCAGAGAAAACCAGCAAAAGCAGCATCAGAATAACAGCAAGCTGATCAATACTGAATAAGCAAGTACATTACTTTCTTTTCTTTTTGGCATTGGTACAGGGATTGAACCCAGTGCTTTCACACTGAGCCATCCCCTCACACCTTACTGAGACAGAATCTTACTAAGCTCTCCAGTTCTCCTGGCTGGGTTCAAAGTTACAATCCTCCTGTTTCAGCTTCCCAGGTTGTAACACCTGGCTATATTTAATTGTTGCCCAGACACTGAGCCATGCAAGGGCACAAAACTTTTAAGTGGTGGAAACAAAACTCAACCAACCATTACCCAATTTCAGAATCTCAGCCAAAGTTCAAGAAGATGGTCAGAAATCAGCACAACAGAGAGGTCACTGACAAGGGGCTCAGCTAGCCCTGGTGGTACACACCTGTAATCCCAGAATTGGGAGGCTGAGGCAGGAGGATTGCTACAAGTCTGAGGTCAACCTGGACTACAAAGTGAATTCAAGGCCCACATAAACTACATAGTGTCTCAAAAAGAAAACAACAAAAACCCTAAGGGGGTCATAAGTTGTAACTCAAAAGTATATATTTTGGCTACAGGGAGTACATAGGCTGGAATCCTTGACAATATTTTCAGGTGGTATAATGGTATGCACCTGCAGTCCAAGCTACTGGACTAGGGAAGTTAAACAAGAGAATCCTGTAAGGCCTGGACTTTGGGGTCAGTCTGGGCAACTACCACAAAGGTTCTTTTTTGTTGAGATAAGGTCTCACTATGTAATCTAATCTGGGCTGAAACTCACTACATAGCCCAGGCTGACCTTGAATTTACAGCAATCCTCCTGCCTCAGTGTCCCAAGTGCTGAGATTATAGCAGTGCACTGCCACAATCAGCTGAGATCCACTTTTGGGGGGAAAAAAATTCAGTGTAATATCAGAGTTGGAGGCCAAAACTTAATGGGTAGATGAGCTTGAGGGAGACACTATCTTAAAAGCAAGGCTCCCAAGGAACCAGTGAGCAGTACAATAACTGAGGAAGGAAATAAAAAGAATTGTGAGTGCACTCATAGTTGCTATTCCCCTCAATTTTTCTTCTACTATACTAAAATATACTTCTGCCTTAACCATCATTGTGCATATAGTCCAACTATAAGTACACTGATTCACTATGTAACACCACCATCCACAATGTTCTCATTTTCTCAATCTGAAACTATAATCATTAAACATTAAGTCCCTATTACCCTCTCCCCAGCTCCTCTATTCTTTGTCTCTTTATCATTTGAGGTCTGGACTCTAAGCACTTTGTAAGTGAAACCATACAGTATTTGTTCATACTGTCTTTAAGATAGCAGATAAGCTTGTTTTTCTTTTAAAGTAACAGATTAAGAAAAAAGAAGAAACAGTTATTTAAGAAAAAAAGGTATACACATATGACAAAATGTCTGAATGTAAAGGCAGGGTGGCATAGAGCCCTGCTAAGTACCTGGAGGACAATTTTCTTATGTATTGCAAATTTGGCAATAATGTGCGCCAAAAGTAAGTGCCCACTGTATTTGCATGCTGGGTCCACACAGGCCTTGGAGAGCAGACAGGGCCACGCAAAGGTCATCAGGCGGCGTAGCTTGCTATTGCGGTTCTTGTTGTTGTCATGGATGTGGTGGGGGGCATGTTCCACCAGTAGCGTGGCATACTGCAGAAGGTAGATCCGCAGGGAGTCCAGCATGTCTGCCTGCTTCTCAGGATCTAGGACCTGTCCGGAGATGCAGTAGGAGGATATTCATTTCCAGTTTTAAATTATGTTACCTACTAAGCAACAAATGGCAACTTTAAACACTCACATCCATACACAAAACTGTATGTGCCAAATCAATTATCCTTTTGTATATAAACTCACTGCAATGCTGAAGTCAGAATGCACTTGGCAAAGGAACTTGAGACAGAAAAGACTTTGTCTTTGATAAAGGTATTCAAGGCTAAATTTCTTGTTTCCGAGTAGCTGAGATTCTTTTCCTGGTCAACCTTTGGTTATTTCTTGTAGAAAATATGATCCCCCTCCCAAATATACATTCTTTCAAGAATATTTTATAGACTCCATTAAATCAAGTATAATACTGAACTATTCAACTCAACTACATATCCTAACCATTTTCTGTCCACCAGATCTGTCCTGTTATGGAATACAGAGACTAGAGTCTTTCATTGTGACTGTGTGGTTCTAACAGCTCTTTTCTTCCCTGGATCTGCTGCTTCCTGCCAACATTCCCTTCTTCTGCCAACAGTCTGTCCCACCAGTTTCTCCTTGTGAAGACACTCAAGACCCCAACTTTTTTTTTTTTTTTTTAAATGTATTCACTATAGGGGCTACAGGATCTCACTACACAGACTAGATTCAGTGATCCTCCGGTTTTCTCTCCCAAGTGCTGGGGTTATATGCACGTATTACCATGTCTAGTCTTAGTCGTCATCTCAGCATACCACAGGGTCAGGGCTAGCACAGCACACCAGGTCTCGAATCCCAAAACCATAACTCTTTACTGTTCCTAAATCAGGCAACTTGACCCAGAAAACAAAGATCAGAGGAGGTAATGAAGAGAAAAGGGCTCTGCCCAAGCTACCATCTGCCCATTTGATAACAAATATCATGTAGATCAAAAATAAATACTTCAACTCAGCTCAGGAGCAGGAAGTAACATCAAAACTGCAAGTAACCATTAATATATACATAGCACTATCCTCTTGAAACCTTTAATCCACTGTGCAGATGGAAAAATGCTATACACACATTTCAACAAATACATTACACGAATCAATTCAATAGCAGGGTAAATGAGGAGGCAGTTCTGTGCCCTTGACCGATCATGCACTGGCCCTGGACCAATTCCACATCTGTGGAATCCATAACCCTAGCTACCGCTATCCACTGACTTTAGATTGGCTCTGCAATTTTCCCCCTCCATATAGGGCAGCATAGATGCCAACTAACAGACCAACCTGATCATGGGTGAGGCCAATACCCAGAGAGAGAAGGGAAGCCTGGCAGATCCATGGATAATTATTGACTTGGACAGAACCTCTAACCCCAGAGTCTACAGCTACTGTAAACTACAAAAAGTCACTTTACTTCAAAAGTTTTTATAATATCAGGCTAGAATTGAAGAAAAAACCCAATGAAGCATCTGCAGTGCCTGCCATAATCAGACACTATTAGGGAAAGGGCTTATTGTTTAAGCCTGAGCCACAGAGCAACTCTACTTCAGGGCCTCCAGTATTACTTTCCTATGGTGACTGGATGAGAGAGCCACAGTGAGGGTACAGGCCAGACATAATGACCCTGAGAAGTTTAAGCTCAGGCCAAGAAGAAAAGAGTCCCACCATCTGGCATGGGAAACCAGGGCTGGTAAATATGACCTTTTAGAAGCAGACAGATCTGAAAGTGCTGACATTAACTGGAGCTGTCTGTCTGAACCCCTGCCCTAATGCCTACATCCAGCAGAGACCAAAGTTAGCAAAGACACACCTTAGCTGAGATAGTTGCCACTGTCTGGAATGTACAGTCAGAGGAGCCTCTGCAGGAAGGAGGACACCTCACAAACTTACTGGCTATAAAGCTAGGCAGAGAAAATCATGGCTTCTTAATTCCAAGATTGCAGATTCTGAAAATAAACCACTCATTCAAAACTACAGGTGATTTTTTAAAAAATGGATTGATTGATTGATTGATTGTGTGTGGCCTGCTCAGCCCACCAGGGGGCGGGGCTGGCTGGCACGTGGTGCTGGGGGATCGAACCGCGGTCCCTGTGCTTTGCCAAGCGTGTTCCAAGTAGGTGCTTTAGACCACTGAGCCATCTCTCCAGCCCAGGTGATTTTGTTTTTAGAATTCTTTTTCCGGGGCTGGTGAGATGGCTCAGTGGTCTAAAGCACCTACTTAGAACAAGCTTAGCAAAGCACAGGACCACGGTTCAATCCCCCCAGCACCACGTGCCAGCCAGCCCCGCCCCCTGGTGGGCTGAGCAGGCCACACACACACACACAGA